ATTTGGCCTTGCAGTCAATGTTGATGGTTGACCTGGATCAACCCATGATTTTGTGCATTTGGGATTCTCAAAATAAATCCACTTTTCATCGCCAGTCACAATTCGATGCAAAAAAGACTTTCTTTTGTGCCGTTGAAGCAACATTTTACTGATGACTTCTCAGTTTTCCATTTGTCTTTTGTTCAGTTGATGTGGCACCCATTTTCCTTTAAAATCTTTCCCATTGCTTGTAAACGATTGGAAATTGTTTGCTGAGCAACGTTTACTCTTTCTGCAAGTTGTTTTTGAGTTTGACACGCATCTTCATCCAATAATGCTTGTAATTGTTGGTCTTCAAACTTTTTTGGTTGACCTGGACGTTCTTTGTCTTTCACATTGAAATCATCACTTTTACAGCGTTTAAACCAGCGTTCACAAGTATCTTGAGATGGAGCATGTTCACCATAAGCTTCCCGAAGTATTCAGCAGCACTTTTCTTCAAAATAAAGTAATGAATTATAACTTCCCACAAATGCTCTTTTTTTGGCACGAAATTCGACATTTTTAAGTGTAAAAATACCTATGATGTTAACACCTTCAGAAAATTTGACATACAAAGTTTTGAAGCTTGCTGTCAATACAACAAAATAGCATACATATCAAATCGCATGTATATCAACATATGTGTAACTCCATCTATTGAAAAAATCCGCATTATTAACCAGTACACCTGGTATCATCAATATAATAGGTTGTTTTTCAAACTTCTTTTCTTACCACTTGATGTTTAAAACTCAACTTGGAGTGCCATGTTAGGTAAGCCTGTGCTGGTTAGTATGGTTATGTCTTGCCTTTAGAAATCCAAGAATTTATTCCTGTACTATTACATAACCATTGTATTTGTGTAGATAGCCTGTGCAAGCTTTGGCTTGGAGATTGACATCCTATTTCTAGATTTTCTTAGGAATGCTGGCATTTCCTTATAATTAATCATCACTTTAAATTATATGAAAATAAATGATGTCCAAATGCTAGTGAAATCTCAAATGAATTTACTAACGTATAAAATGTACCATATTTTTCATTAAATATAAAAGAAGCATAAGATCACTTGATTAGTTTATAACAGTGCCCAAAGGAATAGGTTTGTTGAGTAATAAATGCCTTATAATTCCTTTTACCTTTATATATGAAACAAGTAGGTTTTCCAACTAATCTTGACATTGTGCCTTTATTCATGGTACCTTTTACCTCTCATGGGAGAAATTTATCTTATATATTTTACTTTCTAAACCAACAAGAAAATAATTTGTGTTATTTAGGTAATGAAATACAAAGAAAGAAAAAAGTAAATTACTTCTTCATTATCAATCTACTGCTTTCACATCCTCCTATCTTCTCAGGGTCTAACTAGCCCAGTGCAAGAAGAGAGATTAGTTGATGTACAGTGTTACTGGATTATTTTGGTAAATTTTCTCTGAGAAGCTCAAAGCTTTGCAGAGTGGAACTAATTCAATAACTATTAGTCTACCCTACAAACTCATGAGGGAAGGTGAAGATAATTAAATACAGTATACTGTGGCAACATTTTTGCCCACAAGGAGCCCCAGAAAACTCTAGTAGAGACCAAGATAGCCATTAATCTAATAAGGATTAAGGGTTTTTTCTTTCTTGGCTTTCCTACAGAAAAAAAGAAAAAACAACCCAGAAGCAATGTACAGTCAGGAAAAGGGTATGGCAGGATTTTAGTGTGGCCACAAAGAATTTGAGTGAAAGGCACTAAAATTTCCCATTCTAGTAGCTGCTATTTGCCTAGTTTGGGAGCAAAGAATTTTGTGGTATTTAGAAAAAGAGAGACAGTATCTTTTACCTCATCACATTATTTATGCTTCTGAGTCATGAAGAGGTCAGGAGATGGGGAAATAGGCATGAAAGAACGTGGACAGCAGAGCCACAATGACAGTGCCCATATAATGGTAAGAAGGTCTTCTGAGAGTAGCTACCAGGAAGAAAACTAGTGGGTTTACATTCCTGTCCCTCTGAACTCTAGTAGCCTTGAGTTTATGGTAAACTTACTACATCCAGGTAATTAATGCCTTCTAGATTGCTACTTGGTGGCAAGGAGTCCTCATTTCTCAAGAACGTGACCACCTTAGTGCTTCATTGATAGTGACTTAAACTGTTCAAAGTACTTGGGGTAGTGTAGGGAGTTTTAAAGATCTTTGAACAAAAAAATTGAGGGAAAATATGGACATAAAGAACTTCTTCCTATACCATATTTTGTCCTCTCTCGCAGGTTCTGTGCCTCAATGCAATTTTGTTTTATATATTTCTGTGATGAAAAATCTCATGCCTACCATCTCTCCTCCTCTTTTTGTGCATGTGATTTCTGTAACCATGGCAGTTGTGCTGACCTTACATTTTTTAGTTTCAGCTTCCTTTTAATTTCCTGCATTTAATATTGGTGTGTGGTTGTTGCTATTTGATCTTTCTTTTTCTCTGCTCTTTTATTATACCCCAGTTATTGTGTTATTTCTTTGCTTTTGAATTTTTGTGGATATATGGGAAGCTTCTGTCAGGGATGATACTATTCAGAGAAAGGGAGTTCCTAGAATATCTTTTTTTTTAAATAGTAGACTTTATTAATTTTTTACTCTCATTGAAATATTTTTGTTGAGTCCACTTCTCAAATAACATAGCAGCTTTAGAGTAAGAATGAGATGCTAAATAACTAGAATATCTTTTCTTGATAGCTGGTACTGAGCAAAACTCTAGTCTCTGAAAACAGATCCTGTCTGGATCATTCATTCATGCAGTGCCCCAAGGTCATTAGTGCTTCAACAGATACTTCAGCTTACAATATTTTTTTTTCTATTTTCTTCTTAAAGAGCAAACTTTTCAGCCAGTAACTTTGATGAATATGAATGGTAACTAGAAATTCCTCTTTTCCATTAAAATATACACAGTTAGGTTGTGATATCTACTTCTTATTAATACGGTTTGAATTTACTGAGTTTCAGCAGTTGAATAATTAACTGTGGTTATGAATGAAAGGAATTAAATCACCTCAGCAAGACTATACATATTGAATATTATGTTCTCTCTTGATTTCCCAAGCAATGGCTGTTTATCAACTATTATTGTGGTTTCCATTCCAAGATGACTGCTCTAGTATTCAATTTTTCATATATTAAAACTTGTAGGGATTTAAAAAAAAATTGCTGTTTTCATTTCCTATGTACTTGTTTCTGAGCTTTTTCTCTTATTCTAGAAAATAATCATTACCCACTATCTAGAAAACTGTCTTTTAATCTTCTGATTAAAGATTGCTTAATGATAGTGCTCATTTGTTTGGCTAGCATGTTTTTCTTTAACACTGGAGTTTCTGCATGGATTTATAATATGAGGTTCTTCTTCTTCTTCTTCTTCTTCTTTTTTTTTTTTTAAGCATTAGATAGGCATGAAGCCTCCATCTCACAGCTGCATGTGTAGTTACTATTGAAGCAAATGCCTACCTAATTTGACAGTCTTGGTGTGTTTAAAATTTTTGAGTTTGCAAATAAGCATATTAAGTCTACTGATGGAGCCTTCGGGCAGTGAACAGTTATATGAGGACCCTGATCCTGGAGGCAGATCCCAAGATGCAGAGGCCAGAAAGCAGACAGAATCAGAACAAAAGTTGTCTAAAATGACTCACAATGCTTTGGAGAACATTAATGTGATTGGCCAAGGCTTGAAGCATCTCTTCCAGCACCAGCGCAGGAGGTCATCTGTGTCTCCACATGATGTGCAACAAATTCAGGCAGATCCAGAACCTGAAATGGATCTGGAAAGCCAGAACACATGTGCAGAGATTGATGGTGTCCCCACCCACCCCACAGCTCTGAATCGTGTCCTGCAACAGATCCGAGTGCCACCCAAGATGAAGAGAGGGACGAGCTTGCATAGTAGGCGGGGCAAGCCAGAGGCCCCAAAGGGAAGTCCCCAAATCAACAGGAAATCTGGTCAGGAGATGGCAACTGTTATGCAGTCTGGCCGACCCAGGTCTTCATCCACTACTGATGCTCCTACCAGCTCTGCTGTTATGGAAATAGCTTGTGCTGCTGCTGCTGCTGCTGCATGTCTTCCAGGGGATGAGGCAACTGTAGAGCGGGTAAGTCTGTTAGAGTTTCTTTTTCTGTTATTGTTCTTTCTATCTGGGATTCTTTTAACTTTTCTTTGGTAACTAAAAAGAGATAGCAAGAGATATCTCAAAGTTGTGGTAAAAGATAGTTCCTGTTTTTGTTAAAGGGAATGAATAATAATTATTGCAGCTAATGAATGCATGCTTATAATTATATTCCTATTTGCTTCCTAACATATTGCTGTATTTTGTTTATTTTACTCTTTTGCTAAATCATCAGTATACTTTATGTGTTCTTTATGTCTTAAAAATCTCAGTTTTATGGTAGAGAAACAAAGATGCTTTGTTGTTGCGTTGGTTTTGCACATGAATTGGCTTTCTTACATTAATGAAGGTAATGAATAAAGTTCTAGAATCTGGGTGTGTCTGCTTAGTGTGGAAATATAAATTGCTTATAATTTTCATACACACTGTGCCATTCAATATACATTTTGCTTTCTGCAGTAGAGCATATGCATTCTTTATTTTTTAAATAGTGGCTTTCACACTTTATTTTTTAAAAATATGTTTTGATTGTTTTGATTGATTTTAGAGAGGAAGGGGGGGGGGGGGGGGGGGGGGGGGGGGGGGGGGGGGGGGGAAAAAAAAAGGGGGAGGGGGAGTAAAGGTTAAAAACTTTCTATTTTTATTGATTTGAGAAAGAGGGGGGAAGGGGGGGGGAGAGAGAGAGAGAGAAAAAGAGAAATATCGATGATGAGAGAGAAACATTAATCAACCGCTTCCTGCAAGGCCCCCTATCAGGCATCGAGTCCACAAGCCACAAGCAGGGGACAAGAAAAGGGGAAAAGAAAGTTTGTGTTTTTTTTCAAATATTGGTAACTAGATCAGCTTGTTTGAATGAAAGCAGAAATCTAAGCAGTGACAAATGCTGATTTCAACACTACCCATCGATGATGAGAGAGAAACATTAATCAACCGCTTCCTGCAAGGCCCCCTATCAGGCATCGAGTCCACAAGCCACAAGCAGGGGACAAGAAAAGGGGAAAAGAAAGTTTGTGTTTTTTTTCAAATATTGGTAACTAGATCAGCTTGTTTGAATGAAAGCAGAAATCTAAGCAGTGACAAATGCTGATTTCAACACTACCCCTTTTTGGTTTCTTTTGTTCTTGTTGTTTCTTATGTTATTACTTCTAAATAACTTGTCTTTTCCCAATGAGTAGCAGTGGAAATAAAATACTGGAATGATTCCCTAAAGTTATTTTAAAACTGTTCATCATTATAATATAAACAATGACATTCTGGATTCTCAGATATCTAAACAAAATAATAAGAACAAAAAAGTAATTATTTACAGTATCTAAGATAAGTTCTCTTCTGTTTAGTGAGTTAACCAGTTAAATAAATAATCTCCATGGAGCTATTTCTGCATAGCAAGGTTGAGGGTGGGGTGGAAAAGAGCTCAAATTAAAGTCTCACATTAACCATAATATAATGTTGCATAATTATAGTTAAGAAAGGGGGATGAAGGTGAGAACTATTCCTGTATCGTCTTTCTTACTGCCATAAAACACCAAGAAGCTTGCCTTGAGAATACTGAATTTTAATGACTCATTTGATAATTGAGAATCTTTTCCATGTACTTGGTAATAATTTTGCAAGAATGTTTTGTGGAAGTGAATTTGTTTTAATGTCATTATATGGGATCATACTCAGCTTGTTGAGTATATAATGATGCAAGACTTTTATGTATATAATATAATTTAAGTTGCATGTCAGCTTTTTGAGGTATGTCTGATCTCCATTTGTACAAACAAGGTAATTAGAGCTTAGGAAATTTTAAAATTTACTTAGACCAGAGAGCTCGTCCATGGCTGAGTCTAAGTCGTTTGCTCATTCTACCATAGCACAGATGCCTCAATATTGTAAGTTTTTATTATGTATTTAGTGGGAAAGGTGTAATATAAAGACAGAGAGTGTAGAAGATCGTAGAAGGATCTAGACTGCCAAAAAGTTAGTAACCTACCAACTAGTTGGAAGGTACATCTAAGTAGGCTAATTTTCCTAAAACACCTAAGAAAAATTAAACAATTCGTTTTAACAATTAAAACAAGATTTGAAGCCCCAAAACTAACTCTTGTAGAGAAATGAGTAAGGTAGAAATTTGGATAAAAGAAAGAAGTAAAGGTTTCTAAATGCTTTCCGTATCTATTGTCAAAAGGTGGCAATGAAATTGCTAAAAGTCCAGAAGTCATTATAGCCTTTCTAACCTCCAAACAGTCTTTAAAATAGGAAAAGAAAAAAGAAAAAATAGGGGAAAGAGAGGTAATTGACTGATTTATCCTTGTTTTCAGGTAATCTGACTGGCAGGTAATCTGGCAGTTAATAGCAATGATTATTTTTAATTCTGTGTTTTTAGTTATTTTTTCCTTGCCAAGTTAATATAGCCACCTGGAGGGGTAAGACAAGAGTGCTGGAGCATTATCCTAAGAATGTTCCACTTTTCTTTTTGAGTCTGTCATTAACACAACATCTTAGGTTGGGAGTGACTTCTATAATCATTTTATTCAGCTCTGCAACATTCTCCCTAAGTGGTTAACTGGTCTCTCAGAATCTCTCAAAGATTACCATTCTACTTGTGATGTTTCTGTTAGACAAATCCAACATATTAAATTGAAATCTGGTTCCCTGTATTTCTCCAGTTAATGCCAATCAGAATGTGTGTAATGCCTTTGCAGACATGAATAGCTTTCACAATGTGTGTGTCTGAATAGTTCCTTCTTTAGGCTAATAATACCTAGTCCAGTGATGGCGAACCTATGACACGCATGTCAGAGGTGACACGCGAACTCATTTTTTTGGTTGATTTTTCTTTGTTAAATGGCATTTAAATATATAAAATAAATATCAAAAATATAAATCTTTATTTTACTATGGTTGCAAATATCAAAAAATTTCTATATGTGACATGGCACCAGAGTTAAGTTAGGGTTTTTCAAAATGCTGACACGCCAAGCTCAAAAGGTTCGCCATCACTGACCTAGTCCTTGGGATATTCTTTTTTATTTTTAATTCAACAAATATTTATTGACCCAATCATTCTAAGTGTTAGAATGCTGTAGTGAATTCTCACTACAAACACTGTACTGTGAAGTATTACTATCTCATAAATTAGTTTATAAGTGAGGAAACAGAAAATTGAGGTCAAAGTGACTTGTCAAGTTCACCCACTTAATAAGTTTACTGGATGTCAGACCAAGTCTTTCTAACTCCAAAGTCATACTTTTGACCACTGTTCTTTGCTACAGTGAGTCTTGCCAAGAATAATCTCATAGCCATCAATAAGACCTGGAGTAGATAGCTCTAGGAGAAAGCTGACCTAAAGAATGGCTTAAATTACCTTCTAGCTATGAGATTCTGGGGTTCCTTGAGATGCTAAATGAGTTAGGGGCCTGGGTTCCACTGGGAAACTCCCAACAAATCAAGTAGATTATTAGCAGTCACATATTTAAGTTCGTAGTTTCAGCAATTCACCGAGGACACCAGAAGTCCATGAAAAATATGGTTGCTTAACAAATCATCCTCCTGCAGAGGCCCCAAGCTAGGTTATGGGACTAACTCTTAACAAATCATCTTCATGCAGGAGGTCCCAACCAGGTTATGGGACTAACTTTTAACAAATGTTGGCCTAAAATCTGAAATTTGCAGGGATTCGTATGGTTAGTAAATAACTTTAGGATTTGCACTTTGGTCAATAAGGTGTTTTATGCTTTTAAATAACAGGAAGTTGACATTATGTCTTAAAAACCCAATTTAAATGTGTTTTTCTTTTTAAAGATCCTAGATATGGTAGCTTTCCAAAGATTCATTTTTCATTTGCTTGTCTTGTTTTTAGAATATTACTTACTTGCCTTGTCCGGTTTGGCTCAGTGGATAGAGCATCAGCCTGGGGACAAAAGGGTCTTGGGTTCGATTCCAGTCAAGGGCACATGACCAGGTTGTGGGCTTGATCCCCAGTGTGGAGTGTGCAGGAGGCAGCGATCAATGATTCTCTCCCTCTCCATTCTTCTCTTAAATCAATATATATATATATACACACACACACACATATATATACATATAGAATATTACTTATGATAATGTGAACATTTTCTTTAAAAACAAAGTATTTCCTGTTTCTGACTATAAAAAAGCATTTTGATATGGTATGCATGCTATGCTTTTAACAGTAATGTACTTGAAAAACTAGTTTTAAGAATAACTATCATTTTAAATGTTAATTGAAATGGACTTGATATCTTATTTTTTTTTAATTTATCTTTATTGTTGAAAGTGTTACAGATGTCCCCTTCTTCCCCTCCTCCCCACATTGATCCTCTCCACCCCACTCCCGCCCCCTCCCCAGGCCTTTACTGCACTGTGTGTCCATGGGTTATACATAATAAGTTCTTTGGTTAATCTCTTAGGCCCTTTCCTCCCCTGCTTCTCTCTGAGATTTGTCAGTCTATTGCATGTTTACCTGTCTCTTTTGTTTGTCAGTTTATTTTGTTCTTTAGATTCCACATATAAGTGAGATTATGTGATACTTGTCTTTCTTTGACTGGCTTATTTTGCTTAGCATATATTTTCTAGGTCCCTCCATGCTGTCTTAGAGGGTAAAAGATCCTCCTTTTTTATAGCTGCATAGTATTCCATTGTTTAAATGTACTGCAGATTTTTTTTTTTATCCACTCATCTACTGATGGGCACTTGGGCTGTTTCCAGATCTTAGCTATTTTAAATAGTGCTGCTATGAACATAGGGGTGCATATATTCTTTCTTTTTAATTCAATTTTATTATTTTTTAAAATCTTTAATGTTGAAAGTATTACATACTTTCAATGCCCCTTTTATCTCCCATTGACCCCCTCCAGCCTGCCCCCCCCCCAATATATTCTTTCTGATTGGTGTTTCAGGATTCTTTGGATATATTCCTAGAAGTGGGATCACTGGGTCAAATGGCAGTTCCATTTTTAATTTTTTTTTTCTTCAGG